CTTGATTCTTAAATCAAACAGCAATCCTTAATCGAAGCAATTCATTGAATTACTGTGGAGGTAGGGGGGGTATCATTAAATTTTCCTATCTATTTTGTTACAAAGCCTTATTTGAATTTAGCACAATGTGTTTAAACGAAGTTTGAATAACAAGGCAAAATTGGGGCCAGCGAGCGACCATTTCAAGGTGTAACGTATAAAGAAGCAGACAAAAACGCACGTACAAACTGCCTTTTCCCCTTCTAAACAACTAATCGTACGTACAATAACACATCCACAAGCACAGCACGTGTACATGTCATTGCGCTGCTCGTGTCTGCAGTAGTGCAGCGGTTAGTGCGCCGCGCTGCGAACCAGACGACCTGAGTAAAATTCCCAATCACGGCCAACGCCGGTGACCATTAATTTAAACCTGTCTTGGGGACTCCCTTAGGTCGCTCTGCCTCAGTTGCATACCTGGAGTGGTATGTAAACATTAATACGAGGGAAACAAAGGTGGGAAGGCGTTGTGTTGGCCACCCACCCCCTCGTGTGCTTATCCAGCCTTCATAGGTGCTCGCTAGTAGCACTTGCCCCAAAAGTATGTAAGCCTATATGGGGGATCATTGTCTAGTGTCCTGCAAGGGTTTTTATTTTCTACATTTCAAGTTCTGCCCTACCTGCCTTTACTGCAACCTCAATTTAGGGTCAGAGGTCAAAGCAATTCAGCCAAGATGACATGTTCAGTGATGGTTGCTGCCCTCCCCGTAAGAGATCACTTCGCCGCTTTATTCAACACTTTTGAATTGCAGCAAACAACTATTTCATTATTTCACTTACTCAAAGAGAGGGTGTGCCTCTTAACTTGTGGACAAGCAGGTCTCCCTTGAAAATATCAACTGCTGGTCTTAACGGGCTCTTACTTGATTAAAGAGGTCAGGTCACATGGCATGCATAGTTACACAAAATACTTTTAAAATAAGAAATACATTACAGAAAATTATAACTGCTACACACTCCAGCTGTGTGTTACAATGACAGTTTATCCCTTTCTTATGCTCTTATCCAACAAATATATGTTTCCATCTCACCTATTTATGGTCCTATATTCAAGCCCAACATATGAATTGTCTGGGTGTCTGACAAGGAGTATTGAGAATAACTTATGCACAAAATATTTGCAACGTCTGAACACAGCAAATATGCACTTTGTAGCTTTCATTTTACTTGATGGATACGTTATGCTGTGCAGGGCACGTGTGTGGAAACATTCCTATGTTCGTCCATTTCACAAAGGGGGCCCCTAAAGATGATCCAAATAACTACCGACCTATCTCAATTATTCAACCACCAAATTAGCAGTTTCCTATCCGACAACAATCTCTTACATCAAAACCAATCTGGGTTCCGAAAAAAATACAGCACCACATCTGCTGCATGAGACTCTCTAATCACATTTACAGTAGCATTGACAATAAGCAGTACTGCGCCAGTCTTTTTCTTGACTTGTCCAAAGTCTTTGATACAGTCGACCACAACAACACCCTGTTAAGTAAACTAAGTTGCCTCCGTTTGGAATGGTTAAACAACTTACCTCTCTTCTAGCACCCAAACTGTATTCCTAGATGGTGGAAGGTCAAATAGTGCTAAGATAACAAAAGGGGTTCCACAGGGTTCCATCCTATGCTCCCTCCTGTTCTCTCTTTATGTCAAAGACTTGGGAGCTGACCTGGATCATTCCAGGGTAAATCTGTTTGCAGATGACACGATACTGATTACTACTGGCTGCTCTACGGATGACGATATTGCTAAGCTCCAGGGTGATGTCAACAAACTACAACATCAGCTAGTTGCTCTCAAACTAGTCCTCAATAACTCCTAAACCAAGGTGCTATGCTTCTCACCAGGACTAAAGCAGGAAGTTATTTTTCCCCAATTACATTCCTCAAATAATTGTCAAGTAGAGCAAGTCAAGATCTATAAGCATATTGGGGTCATCTTTGATTCAAAACTGAATTTTCAAGATCACATTGATTATATTGGTAAAAAGACAAAATTAATAAAAAAAGTTTTTCTGTATCGACACAAGCATTGTTTCCCCCCTATGTTCCGTTTTTAATTGATAAAAGCTACCATACTTCCTCTACTTGATTACTGTGACATCGTATATAAATCAGCCCTCAGTACTGTACTGAAGAAGCTTGACCCAATTTTTCACTCGGCCTTAAGATTTGCATTGAACTGCCCATATAGGACCCACCACTGCGATCTCTACATTGGGTCAAACTTAACATCTCTTCATGATCGACGGCTTGTGCATCAGATCTTATTTATTCGCGATGTACTTACAAAAAAATCAGCAGACTACCTGCTGAATCTCCTCACTGTTTTGAAGAACAAATGTGACCTAAGGTCCTCGCTCATTTACCAGCTTCACATTCCTTATTGCCGTACAAATTCTGGAGGAAGGTCCTTTGCTGGTGATGACCCCAGGGTCTGGAATGCTATCGCCAATAAACTGCAACTTCGATCATTTCCTGTGAGATCTGCACTCAAAACAAGCTCTTGAGGAGCTGTACATCCCCCGCTGCCCCTGCAATGCAGTACCTTAAATCAAATGCATCTCTCCGGATGTCTGCTGCAAAGTACGATCTTAAGTTTTGATTATAGTGTGCTGATCTTTAAAGGTGCATTGAAAAATGTTGATATTCCTGCTGATACTCCTGCTGTTATGGAGTGACTCATGCTGCCAGCTATGGCTGCAAAGATGGGTCGTACATGTTATATATATAGTTTATTGATACATTTGAATTACAGTTACTATGATCACTGTTACATTGTTTTTATAGCTTTATTTTGATTTCGTAAACGTATGGTTAAGCCATGTTTGTTTGTTGAAGTACGGAGTTAGCCTGATAACTTTAATCTAAATTGCCTTATGGTTGTTAGTTTGACTTGCATCCCACTGGGATTTTTGTACAGAGCGTTGATATACAGTGTTTTTTTCTGGAAGATTTCGCTGGGTTTTCCTGGATGTTTCTGTTGCACATCGTCACTTTAAGATGTTCTTTGTTCATGTTTTTGTTTGTTGCGGTTGCACCCGAGTCAAGAGCCGCATGGCTCACAGGGCCATACCTAATAAATGAAACTGAAAACTGAAACTGTGATGCACTGCGTTATTTTCAGAGGATGTAGCGCACGTATTAGAAACCGTGTTATACTAAACGCGCTTCCACCGCATTAACCACCGCACCTATTATTGTAATGCGTGATGGATGAAAAGCCTCGTATCAGTAATCTTCAAGGCGAGGCGGCTCTTAAGTGCGCCCTCATTTCTTGGCTCGGCACATGAAGTGGTGGCTCTGGGTGGCAATCGCCACACTCCGCCGACCTAACGTACGCAATATAACGTCGCCAACAGCACAAAAGACATTGGCACGCAACTGTGTGGGCGCAGCCTCTGCCGCAAGGCCCCATTTCCAGCCAGATGAGTATAACTGATGAGTATTAATTAGCGAGCAGATGGTTGGAGGAGTTTATTTGTTTCCTGGGGTGTTTAGTATCACACCCTGATATTGCTGGTAATCGAGACGTACTATTCTTACAGGCCTCATAAGCCGTGCACCACGTAAGGTCACCTAAACGCTTGCCAAAATGTCTTCGCATCATGATTAAGTTACCAATTTCATGTGTGCAAGGCAGCGTCGGAAAAATAATGTAATTCTATTTATATCATTTCTGGCTAAGAAATCAAAACCCAACAATTCCAGAAGGGAAAACAGAGGCTCAAAGAATGTGTGGGAACATAGACCAATACACAGTCTGACCGCACACTGACCCCTACAGGTCATACATAGATGACAGATTGTGCGTCAGGGTTGTTGTGACCAGAGGCTGGAAGAGGCACAGCCATTACCTCATCCCTGATCGATTCACAATTTCACATTAACCCGATATAAAACCACGCGACGCGCATCATGGAATTGCGTTAGAGTGCGTCAATTATGATCATTTCAACCAGATATTATTTTAATAGTGCATTATGGTCAAATACACACACAGTTGTTGGCTCCTGATTTATGTGTACGTCGGAGCACTTTCAGCAGAACTCTCCAAATGAATCTACGCATGCAGCATTTCACAACATGCTGTTGTGTTTCGTTTGTGGATTGAAAGAAACAAAGATCCCGTATATACCCTATCTAGAAAGTTGCAGCAAATGCTGTTAACGAACCCCTGAAAAAAGTCCAGAATGGCACACTAGGGGGTTGTCTGGGCACCTTTGTCTCCCCAGTGCTGATGTATAAGCACCATACCAGAGAGTCATTTAAGCCAAGTCAACGACTTGTGCATTTCATTTGCGACATTTCAAGTGGCCTCAAAAGTGTGCCTAGCCAGGCGCAAGTGCTGTGGTGACATCACCGTCACTTTCTGGGGAATAGCAGCTGTTGTTGTTTGATTTGCATGACCTGCAGTGGTGTATGTACTGCATGACTAACCTGGTTACCCGAGTTCAATTCCTCAACAAGGCTAACATCAGTGGCAAGTGGTATCAGAAATTGTGTTCGACCTCCCCTAGGTTGACTAAGCCATTATAAAATAATCGCCGGGGAGACAAAAGCTGCCGTACGTAGTTCTGGGTACACCATTATTTTGTAGTGCCAAGCCGGTCTTAATCGTAGGTGCTCACCAGAGGTCGCAAACGGGTTTTGATTCCTTACCCGTACCCGGCCGGGTACGGGTACCCGTTCCCTATCCGTACCCTACCCGAAATGAGTGACAAACGGTTACTCACCAGTGACTCACGGCCTACCCGTACCCGTACCTGGCCGCACCAGGGTCGCAAACGGGTACCCGTACCCGGCCGGGTACGGGTAGCCGGGTATCGGGTAGGGTACGGATATCGGGTACCCGGTTGTGACCTCTGGTGCTCACTATCAGTACTGGCCCAGACAGTGCATATAGCGGCATAAGGGATCTATGTTGTATATATTTACGTGCGTGCAATCGCAGGCCCTCACCTCGTTGAATTTGTCGGCAATCTTCTTGTTGGGCAGTGGGGCGGTGGAGGCCAGCAGCTTGTCCCCCTTGTAGTCGCGGTACAGCTCGGCCAGCGTCTCGCGGGTCTCCTGGTTCGTCGACTTTAGATGGTAGTCTGGCTTCTGCCGCGCCTTCTCATCCTCTGTGGCGATGCACACGAGCGTAAGACGCAAATTAACCGATCATGACCTCGGCTCAATCCTGACATATAACCTATCATCTGCATGTGACCCACTTGTCAGCTATGCACAAGTACATTTATAAAACAAACTAAACAAAAACATATGGACGGTGTTAACGGCACAATACATTTCTGCAGTATGTTAATGTCCATCCACTGCTGAATGAGGGACTCCCAACGGCATGTGGGTCAGAGGCGTGAATAGTTCTGCCTCTATGGTCTATGTAACTCAAACTATTGCAGAATAAAAAGAGACTGTTAGTTTCAATAATAATTTACAGCCCTTGATCCAACTACTGCCGGACAAAGGACCACCCAGTCTGTGTCAGTCGTGGGAGATGTTTGACCTTACTTCGCCATACTAGTTAGTGTAGGTTGAAGGCAGGTAGTATAAACATGACTGCATAGAAGCATAGTGCAACAATGGATTTTGCTGCAGGAGCCTCTGTTGGCAACACCTGGTGCTACAACATAGCCCTGGGTGACTGGTGATTTGGGCATTGGTTTGTCCGATATAGAAACACACAAACGATTGCTAACCCTTGTACAAACTTATGACCATGTCATGTAAATATGCAAATGTATTTTTTTTTGCACTTTTTGTACGCAACATGGACGGGTTGTGCTTTTTCTGGAGGATTTTATTGTTTACGAATGTGATGTTTAGATTTGTGTACAATTAATTTTAGGTGTATCTTGTAATTTTATTGTTTGTTGCGGTTGAACCCAAATCAAGAGCCGAATGGCTCACAGGGTAAATCCTAATAAATGAAACTGAAAACTGAAGCATTGCCCCAACAAGTGATCTTAATGAACACATCGAGGAAAGCCGTCATTGAATTTCACTATTTTAAAGGCGGGTACTGCTTTGAAACGCTTGGCCAATTCCAATGCGTGTTGAGAATTCATTGAATCCTGACTGATAAGGCATCAGCAATTTCAGTCACCACGTAGGGGCTAAACTACAAAGATCACCTGACAATTCAACATAGTCTACAATGACAAAGATAATGGTGTAGATCAACATATTGCCATGCTGATTTTTCCCCTCGCAATTCATGATGAAAATAAACCAATGGTGCAGCAATTGTTAAAGTAACGTATTCATGTTATTTGTCAAGAAACTTTGTTCCATAAGCATTGAGCACAACCGTACAAGGTAACGGTGAAAATAATAACAAAAGTTGTTGAGCACCTTCATCTGGTATTTTGAGCTTGTGTTTGATGTGGTGCATGTTCGTCAAGTTGAACTTGTCAAGGTTTTGTGGGTCCTGTGGGGAGGGGAGAGCAGAGCACATTGAAGGTTAAATTACACCGGTCATCTCAACAGTGGTTGAATTCACTGAAGTAAATAACTAACACCGAGACGGCCTCACAATTCGTCGCACAGTACACCCAGACAATACTGTTTCAACCAAACCCAGGTGCTTGCATTTGACGAGCAAAATTTCCAAGTTACACACGACATCACGTCACCTGCAGAGTGATGATGTCCTTCCTGGTGAACGGCTCATTTGTTATCAGCTCCAAAAAGTTCTTTCCCTTGATGTTCAGCTTATCAACAGCCTGCAAAAACAGGTTCCACACACTCCATTTCATTTCTGTACACACAATAGGCATGGTTATCAAGAGCAGTGTTTGTCAATATTTCTAGATACCAATGCCGCAGTGGTGGCATATGAAAATCGAACACACCGGACTAAAAGTGCATTAATTTCAAATTGGTAGCATTATACATTACTTATTTATTTCGTAGCTTCTGCATAACGCCATGATAGAACTTGTGAATTGCTGCCTGCAACATTAGCACTGCCGGCTGAAAAACACGGACCTAAAGCAAGTGAAGAGTGAAGAGTGTAGAGTGGGAGTGTGAGCGAAAAGTGTGATTGGAACAGATACCAAGAGAATAGGTGCTTGATGTCTGCGAGGTGTAAGCATAAGTAACAGAAAATGTGACTAAGTACAGCAGAACAGCAAAGTAAAAACACAACTGTTCCTTCATGTTTCAGCGATCAGGGGACTTCAATTATCACCATACATGCGGAGTCACAGAGCAGGATGAAGTTACCCTCTTTGCTCTTTAGCGACACCTATGCAATAAAGTTGCTCACTTCGTAGGAAAAGACATTCCCCGTCGTCTTGATCGCCACGATGTGAGAGTTGTCAGTGAAGACGTTGAACAGCACTGGGCAGCTGTATTTCCCTGGAGAGATCATTAATAATTAACGATATTTTTCGATTTAAAGCTTTCGTGACTGCAGGGATTCATCTTCTTGGTTCTTTCGGTAAAGTCACGTAGAATGGAAATAATAAAATAATAAAAATAAAACATAATAAAATAATTCTCACGACGTTTCGGCCACAACACAAGCAGCCGTCCTCAGGCTGCTTGCGTTGTGGCCGAAACATCGTGAGAATTATTTTATAATGTTTTATTTTTATTATTTTATTATTTCCATTCTACGTGACTTTACTGAAAGAAGCAAGAAGAAGAAAAATTAACGATATATGTTTGAACTAAAAAACATACGTTAATGTATACAAATACCATGACAATTTCATGCACAATGATAGGTCTATGAAAAGAGCATCAAGACATTACCAGAATATTTCTGTCTAACATTTATTTGGTAGTTTAACTAAATGTACTTCCCTCACACAATGAATAAAAGTGAAAGATGAGTGACCATGTCTTGCACCTATCTATTACACTAATGTGATTTTAATGAACCCACAGCCATGCTTTGTCATGTTGTACTTCAATGCTGCTAACGTTACAAAGAATTTGTAATGACAGATAAAGCTTCTGAATATTGAGTGGGGCTAAGCTGAGCTGAAGAAGACCTGCCACATCGGTTCAACGTGTTTAGAGCCTCTCCAGGGGGGCCATGGACTAGAACAGCATGTCCGTGTACTATTTCACATGTCGTACTATTTAGGAATAACTGTCTTTTCTCAGTTCAACGTGTGAAAAAAACAGACATTTACTTTCATTCTGGGGAGAATACCATGTGGATATGTGCTATTAAACTTGACAAACATCACAATTTTTTTTTATTCTCATTCGAGTTTCTTACCATCTGCGTTCTTGTGGAAATTAAGCTTGAGGAGAGACTTTATGTCCAGTTTCTACAAAAACCGCAAGAGAAGCATATTTTACATTTATCTAAGCATTTGTCGTTTGAAGGTTAATGATGGTTTAAAGGAAAACATATGAAGTGTCCTTGCAACGGATTGAAATCTGAAAGTTGTTTTTATCAAATCGAAATTAAATATACTCCTACCTCCCCAGTGCTGGGATGCGTTCCGTACTTCTTGATCCAAGGAAAGATGTTCCTGTCAAAATAATAATTACACTCGAGTTTTACAATAAACCCATTTAAGGTTGGAAGGCATGCCTGTAATTTCTTGCGAATTGTACAAAATTGAAAATCGATGGTTTATGTAAAACCGTCAAATAGATTTGAGCGCAAATTTTAAAAACAAACAGACTAATCTACAATTTGTAACACAAATGCTTTAAATTATATCCAGGCAAAACCAAAGTATCAATGTATTTCACAAACACACAAAATGAGAGAAAACACATTGGCTACATATCACCATATAACCCCTGAGTTGAATTCTGACAGATATTGATTATCCTTAAAATGTTGAGTTTTGAGTTAACCTCTGTTGTTAGATGAATTATATACAGTGGAAGGCAGATATAAGCACTGCACACTACTTGGGAGTAGGGACATGTGTGCTTATATCTGAAGCAGTGGGCTTGAATCAGAAGCCTTCTTGCTAACAGTGTAATGTAAAACTATGTTGCACCTCTGATTAGCACGGTTGGCTTCGTACGGTGAAAAATAAATTACTCATCCATAAGAGTTTTCTTTTGGTTATATCATGTAAATATATGTATGCGACTGAACCCAAAAAACCTCTTATAGATATTGGTCGCGAAAGCTTACGTGTTAAACTAAGTTCAACATACATATATACAGAACTGTGCTTATAATTATCACACTACTCACATGAAATCAAAGACGATGCCATCTGGTGTACACATCGGATGCTCAAAGGGCAGCATTGACAAACTGGAAACAACAAACACATATTATTGAAGCATCATCGTTAAATGCTCTTCCCATCATCATTAACGTGCGCTTCTGTGTATTGCAGGGATAACTGTTATACATTTTATCCACCAGTTGGATAAACGCTCTCTCAGGATGTGACAAGGCTGTGAGAAGTGGTTTGGGCAGAGCGCTACAAACCATCTTTACTTACCTACAGCGATCAAAAGACAGCCTCCGGAAGTCCGATTTGGGTCCATCTGAAGAGAGAAATAATCAATACATCTTACGTTAAACACTCATAGCTAGATTCAAGGTGTAATATAAAGGTGCTGTACACATATATGAAGTATTCTAGATGTGTTGTATACAGCCTACTAACAAATAACTTTTAAAGCGCTCGAACATGTCAGATCTTGGAAGCTATGCAAGGTCAGTCGGGACCAAAATAAATTTCCTTTCCTCCCTAACGTCGATTCAATTAACTGTCACGATTCAAATCTTCTTTTTAACATTGTGGTCAAAGGGAGCATCTTACGTGAATGGGTGACGTGAACTAAGCATATAAAACACACACACACACATCTGGAAAAACATTGATTCTTACAATGTTGATTTACATATGACCGACCTCAAGAACCGATATCAAAAGAAGAATTCATGTAATGTTCCATTCGTACTGCTCAGCACGCGGGCGGGAAATTGCCCGAGAATAGACTTGGGTTGCAACAAAAGTCAGCCAGACGATGGAAATACATTGCAGCAATACATTAAAAATATCCAGAGCTCTGGGTTTTCTCCAAATGCCATGGTTTCCTCCCACAGGCCACACACACTCATTATTCATGGAATTGGCCCAACGTTCCATTGCAGAACCCTGCTGCAAAGTGCCCTCAAGAGTTGAGTGAAGCTTCCCTGGATAAAGTGATGTACATTGTTAGAATTTCATGCTTGTTAACTGCATTCTAAATTATAAGATATTGCTGATAATTAGCATGAGTTACCTGGTTTTTTGCCACCATACAGATGTGTCCATTCAGCGCACGTAATGTACCTGTACAAAGGAGAGAGTAATAACAATCAAGAGTTATGGTTAATTGATGCTTAAAGGCAGGCTGTCTCGCTCCAGAAAAATGTAGGTTTTGATACGAAAAGGTCTGTCTCATTACGAGACGTGAGGCTAATTCCAATTGTGTAGTTAATCACGAATTGAAATCACAACCCCCAAATTTTTATTTCAAGATGACAATTGCTGCTGTACTTGTAACTATAATTTACTATTTAATTTAAAGTCAAAGGCGCGATGTAATCGTCGCGAGACACCGATGGACCGGGTCGGGCCGGGCTGGTCGCTCTGCTGCCGGGGCCGTCGCCTCTATCCCGGTAGCCGATCTAGGAAAGCGCTGCGGGCCGGACTCGGGCCCGCAAGGCCCGACAGACAGAGATCGCCTCCGGTAGTGCATAACACTCACAGCTTGTCTTTCTGATGCTGCCGCTTGCCCATGGTGAGGATTGGGCGTCAAGACGGGCGCCTCCGCAGCGAAAATTTAACCAAAATTAACTAAAAACAACAAAAAAGCGGAAGCCAAGAAGGAACGCGGACGAACACGGTCCAGAACGTCGCCGGAAGTGGACGAGGATTGCGCGATGCTCCCACGCTGCACCGCGCGGGGGACCACGACAAACACACGGGCAGCCGCCACTTCACTTGACCCGAGACTTCACTTCACGCGAGACTTCACGCGACCCGAGACTTCACTTCACGCGAGACTTCACGCGACCCGAGACTTCACTTCACGAGACTTCACTTAACGCGACCCGAGACTTCATTTGACCCGAGACTTCACTTGACCCGAGACTTCACTTGACCCGAGACTTCACTTGACCCGAGACTTCACTTGACCCGAGACTTCACACACGACCCGAGACTTCACTTGACCCGAGACTTCACTTGACCCCAGATTTCACACACGGCCCGAGACTTCACTTCACGCGAGACTTCACTTCACGCGAGACTTCACACACGGCCCGAGACTTCACTTGACCCGAGACTTCACTTGACCCGAGACTTCACGCGACCCGAGACTTCACTTGACCCGAGACTTCATTTGACCCGAGACTTCATTTGACCAGAGATTTCACTTGACCCGAGATTTCACTTGACCCGAGACTTCACACACGGCCCGAGACTTCACTTGACCCGAGACTTCACTTGACCCGAGACTTCACACACGGCCCGAGACTTCACTTCACGCGAGACTTCACTTCACGCGAGACTTCACACACGGACCGAGACTTCACTTAATAAAAATAGCAACCACTGTGGTCTGAAACACAATGTGTATCCGCCAAAGCAGCATCCTAACCGCACCGTTCTGGTTCTAGAAGTTAATATTTCAGAACTAGGTACAGTAAAACCTTGGATTGCGAGTAACTTGGTCTGCGAGTGTTTTGCAAGACGAGCTAAATTTTAAAATAAATATTAATTTGATAAACGAGCGAGGTCTTGCAATACGAGTAGTACGTGTATACGCTTTGTCTGCCAAGCGTCACGTGATCACAACTGATATACGAGTGCTTTGGATTACAAACACGTTTCTGGAACGAATTATGCTCGCAATCCAAGGTTTTACAGGACAATCATATTCTCATTTTAGCGTCATCGGTCACTTCTGCCCACGTAGCATTATTGCGGTACTTTGAGTTTATCAGCCGATTTGATTTACAAACATGTTAACCATCAACGTTCGTTTAAAACACACGTTAAACAGAACCCCACAACGTTCACGGAGTGATCTTGCCAATTACACGTGGCAACCCTAAGCAGCCGTTGTCTGATGTTTATTGAGCAAATCAAAACGCATCGACCAAGCACAGGCATAATATTCCAGAGGGTATCGTGTGGTCTTAAAACACATTCCTGCGGAGGGAGCTGGTAGGAACGTTGCGTTGCTCGGTCAATGGCCAGGGTCAACGGCGGCGTGGTGTATTCTGCAAATATGCCCGACTGTGAGGGCGGGGACAAGCCGGCGTGAGTAGGTTCAACGTTGAGTTTTATAAGGGCACCACGGGGTGACCAGCCCCTCCCCACCCAGCCCCACCCAGCCCCTCCCCACCCTCCCCACCCAGCCCCTCCCCACCCTCCCCTCCCCACCCAGCCCCTAGCTCCCCACCTAGTCCCTCCCTGCACGACGGACGGACGGACACAATAATCCCCTGTGGGCTGGTGTAACCAGGAGGTTCCTACCAGTAACACATGCAAATACATATTTGTTCCAGTAGACGGTGCCATTGGACAGGCTGTAGAATGTACATGGCAGGGAATTACATTTTCGAACCAAGTATGTATGGCGTTGTCTTTATTGAGCTGATAAAATACTGGTCGGAACTTTATGCGTGATACAGTAAATATATTTTAAATAAAATTTGGTGGAAGGTAGCGAGTTGGCTGAAGGGTTCAGGGTACTGAGCTGGTTAAGAACCTTTGTTTCAAATCTCGATTTCAGCCACCCATGATTGAACTGGCTTCTCAAACGTAGCGAGTTCATGATCTAAACCCGGTCATCGATGATGGCACAAAATCGCTGACATTAAATTAGGTTTTTCCTTAATTTGACCAAATTCCAGCTTATTAATTCCAGCAATTTTTTTAAGTTCCAGCTTCACTGCTAATGCAACATACATGTCTTCAGCAAGGTGCAAGAGACTTTTATTTTATCCTTATTTGATGACTAGAGTTTTCTTTATTTTACAAAACCATTCCAAATTCTCAACTCTAATACAGGAATGGGAAGAAAGTTTACACTTTCCTAAAAATTCCAGAATATTATCAAAGTAATTATCTTGTATTTCGATTGAAAACTTTCGTGACTGCAGGAATTCATATTCTTGGTTCTTTCGGTAAAGTCACGTAGAAGGTAAATGATGATTGCTTGTGTTGCAATCGAAACGTGAGAATATAATTGTTTTATTATTTTATTATTTCCCTTCTACTTGACTTTACCGAAAGAACCAAGAATATAATTATCTTGTGTCACGTGTCGTAGGTTAATACATAGTTCATCAACACCACGTGGTCCTCTATCTTTAGAGCCATTCTGCAACAAATAAGACCCAAGTGCTGTGACTGACAGACTTACACATGGACAAATTCAGTTTATTATCATGTATTCTCTAGGAAAGCCTGACTGAGTCTCAAGACGCTTGCCTCAAGGTTGTTACAAAAATAGTATCAACGCCTGATTTACAAGTGGTAGGCAGCAAGTCAATGCTAGCCCATATCTTAGATTGTCTTCATCCAGCAGTGCATTGCTCATAGCTGATGATGATTTCAGGCCTGCTGTGGGCAAGAGCTTAATCACTATTGACTCCCTTTTGCGATGAAGATTAATTATATATTATTAAATTTCCTAAAACCCAAGCAACAGTACAATTTAATTAGGAGTGTTTTTATTGTTTTTTTTGCAGACGAGAATATAAAGAATGTCAATTTAGCAGAGAGTAGGAATGAAACAATTTGAATGCGATACATTTTTCCCGTTATCTTCAGATAGTTAATGTTTGTGTGATTTCATGTATTATTCACTTTCAGTTACTACAAAAATAGCTTGCACTCAGCTGATCTCGTGTTGTGTAGCTCAATGATGCAATTCTGGACGCATGTTTCATCGTGGTTGCCCTCGGAAAGCATGTGCTTACATTTTGTCTCCGTAAGACTGCAGTCTACACACTTGCAATATGGATTTAAATATATTTTAAATGCGACCGCATCTTATGTTAATGTATGTTGTATCTATCCTAGATTCAAGGCATTGTGCCTGAACAGAGGCTGGGAGTTCCAGACTATGAGGGCAACGGAGGAGACTGATGTCCCTTGATCTTGCTTGAGCTCCCTCGCTTCAGAATGCAACTTTTGTCCTCTTAAACAATCAAGATCAGTATCAATAGAGTAATACTATTTACTCACGAAAGCCCCACTAAGTCTCAAAACTTTTGAGTCGACTTTTACATCGGGATGTTTAAGCAATTCCATCAAAGGATGTTTTGGCTTCTTGTGTCGGGCTCACAGCTTTTACCAAAGCCCCTAACAGATAGGTCACACATGTAAACGTAGGAACTCCCATCAACACAATAAAATATTGTCATCCAGTTGAGGGAGACTTTAGAATATTGAGGAAATCTGAATAGCTCCTGCCTGAATTTTCAGTCAATCAGGATTACATTTCGATTTAAAGCTTTCGTGACTGCAGGGATTCATCTTCTCAGACTCTGCCTTCTCGACAGACCTGTTCTGCACCTGAAGACGGCTGCTTGCGTTGTGGCCGAAACGTCGTGAGAATTATTTTATTATGTTTTATTTGTATTATTTTCCTTCTACGTGACTTTACCGACAGAACCAAGAAGACAAGATTACATTTTCAGGCAGTCGATACCTACATTTTTCGTGTTCTACTTCAAAAGCCTAAAATGTTTTAATCGATTTATTTTAGTGTTAACTACTGTTAATGAAACATGCGCGCAAAATAAAAATGTGTTTTTTTGTAGAGGCAGACGATTATGTTAAACCCGCGTGAGTTCACACGCGTTTAGATGATTGTCGGACATGTGCAGCCCTTTCGTCAATCTACTGCTGGATGAGTTGGGGGTTATTTGACCATACTTCTCCATACTGGCCGGTGTGGGTTGGTGAAGACCGGGCACATGACATGTGGAAGCATATAAAAATTAACCCTTAAAAACAAAGTTTTTCACTATAAATCCTTTATATGCGTGGCATCGGGGCGGCTAGAGTCCTCTCGTCCTCTGGCTTGAGATGGCTGCCACCTATGGGTCAGATGATTGTGTGCCAGCATTAACCAATTTGTAAATAAATATTTTTAAAAAATTCCCTAAACAGTGTAAAATTTTTGAAAATTTTTTTCACTAAAATTCATTGTCACGCACAACGAGACTGTGTGCAAAATGTCAGCTCGATTGGATCACGGGAAGTGGGTTAAAAACGACCGAAAGATTTGCACGGTCCTAAGCAAGCAAGCGAACTTAATATAAAGGATTTAAAAATACAGTTCAACAATGGAATCTGCTACACTGCCCTCTGCTGCCCACCACGTAGCCCCGCAGCTTACAGCAACCAGCTGTGTCAGAATCAGAATATGTACACTGGAGGAATCCGATGAGCTATTAAGCTCGTTTTCACAGATGTCCAGTAGGCGCGGGTCAGAACGGTACAACAACAAATACTAAAACACTTTAGGCGTGCAAAGTATCGAATAGGTTAACAAATCACGTGTATGGTGATCACCAATCCAAGCGCCGTCCTGTTTTCAACCCTGCTGAGCTTTTGTGATGCTTGCAGTAGGAGCCAAATTTCCACAATTTGTCTTGCAGCAAGTGTGACCTCCAAGTTCTCCAGAACACCATGGTGTCTTGGCGACCCTTACCTACAAAAGTAACCAATGTCAGCATGCTCACTCAATTCACTGATATACATACGCCAGATGTGCACATGACTCAAATGTAGGACGATAGGTCATACTGTAGGTGTTTGGAACGGATTTGATGATTATTATATGTCAAACGCGTCAATATTTTTTGCAGCATTGCCACACGACTTTGGCACTTTGGTTCTAAGCTTCATGCAAACAAAACCAAAGCAATTA